TCATTATTTCTATCTAATTGTATTTCTCTATTTCTAATGTACATGACCATCCCCATTCCCAGCTCCAAAGACAACACCAAGCCTTTTTCTTTTTTTTTTTTTTTTAATTTTAGAATGGCTGTCCTCTGTTTACAAACAGCAGTGGTTTGCCATGCTCAGAGCAGAACAAGACAATGATATTGGGTAGGTATATTACAGGCTTTATTTCTCTCTTAAATTAGAAACCTTCCTCTCGTAGAAATTCTGACATGAATTATTTGGAGTTTACATTAAAAGGAGGGGGGAAGCATTCTTCAGTGCTTTTGAACTGTTGATCTCTGTGGAGCTCTCAGTCCCCCTGGGCTGGCTGGTCCCTCAACCAGCAGAACTCTGGAACACTGATCTGATGGGACCAGAGGGAAATGCTGGGTGGGGGACACGAGTTCTGTGCTTTCCTTCATGTAGGTTAATGCTTCTCACTGGCACTTCACCTGGGAATCTGTGCTGAGGCTGTGAGAGGGGATTTCTGAGCCCTCCATTTTAAGGGTGTTTTGGCCATCAAACTGTTCCTCTTCCTTCTGCTTGCTCTTGGCCGTGCTGCAGTGAGCCAGGTCCTGGATTTAACACCAAAACTATGGCAAATGTAGCTGGGGGAGTTGGTGCTGCCTTTGTCTGCTCTGCTGGCTCCTGGAGTGCTTTGAGGAGAAAAAATGCCAAGTCAGGCAGCTGCAGAATGCCTGTTACCTCCCCAAACGCTGCAGGCTGACTTGCTCCTTTGTCCTGTCACCCAGCAGGTGACACTGTGGGCAGGGACGTGTTGGGCTGTAACAGGAGCTTCAGAAAGCCCCAAAGTCTGGTCTGAACAACAGCCAGGATCTTTAGAAAGCTGTTCTCTGAGGCAGCAGTGCTTAGGGAGGTGGTGGAGGCAAGGTGCAGCGTTGTGGCTCTCACATCCAGGTGCTGCAGGTGAATTTTGGGTGGCTGTGCCCTGGTTCTGGTGCTGCTCTGGTGGGAAGGGTTTGCAGTGCTGCTGTGGCTGTGTCTGAGCAGTGTCACAGTGGCTCGTGGGGAAGCAGGGTTCACAGGGAAGTGAGTCAGCAGATGCAGTGTTTGCTAATTTTGATGTGTTTTGGTAATTGAGTGCAGTGGGAGCATTGGAAGTACCAGCCACTGCATGGATGCACATGCTTCTGGGAAAGGGAGTTCCCACAGAGTGAGGATGATGGGGGTCATCCAGCTTGGAAACAGCAGTTTCAAAACTCAGCTACAGCTGAGGATTTCAATGGCTTTTGGAATGGGCAGAGTACTTCTCCACATTTTTCTAGCTTGTTTAGTCTTCTCTTTTGTAGTATGGGTTGCTTATTTCTTTTAAGGCAGTGAAAAGCAAAGGTCTCAGCCTCAGAAGGGCAGACATGCAGCTGTTCCTTTGTGTTAGTGCAAATGTTTTGGCCATTTGACCAACGTGTAGCTGCAGGAAAAGAATTCAGGTTTTATAAGCCCATGGTTTATCCAGCTCTGCTGCTCTTCCTCTCACACCTCCTGCCCGTGTCAGCATCAAACACACGCTTTCCCTCAGGGGTAAGGAGGCAGACTTAGGAATCAGAGCAGGACGTGACTCTGACTCCTCTGAGCTGAAGTAAGGCTCTATTTCCATATCCCACCTGGTGCAGGCCATAATTGCACCTGCTTCTTGCAGCATGGAAATGGCCCTGCCTGGAAACTGTGATGTGGCTTTAGGGACAGGAGAAGAAAGTGTTTCCTTTCTGCTTTGAGTTTGCATTTAAAAGGATTAAACATCTTATTCACTCTTCAGAATTGGAGAATTTTTTAGTGTTAGCAGTGAGTTTGTGGCTTTGAACTGTAGCTGCTCAGGGTTTACTTGTGTTAAAGTGGATCGCTTTTTTTTTAAATCAAACATGTGTTTTGTGGCAGAAGCCAGACAGATCTTTCAAGTCTGGGTCTGGAATCAGTTCTGCTGTTAGCAGTGTCTTTGGCAGCGTGTGAGAGGGAGGCAGAATGGCTCCACTGTTCCTGTGTGGCAGCTGGTGGAAGTGGTTCAAGCTGGAGTTCTGCATTGTCTGAGGCTGCTCGAGGGATGGAGAGGGGAATGTTAATGTCAGTCTGAGCATTATGGACTAATGTTTGTGAAATTTGTCACTAATTAAACAGAAATAAATCCTTTATCACCATTACTGCATTTAGGTCAGCCACAGAACCAGTTCAGCTGGAAGATGTGGAAAAGCACACGGGAGGTTCCTGGGTGAATTTGTTGAAGTGTGATGAGTTGTATGCATAACCTGTTCTTTGAGCACTTCACCTCCCAGGATTGGGTTTTACAGACACGAGAAGAGAGCTTACGAAAGATTTATCTGTGAGTTGCTGTGGAGTGAGAGCAGCAGGAGGAGAGCAGAGGCTGCACCTCTTCTGCCTTGAAGGGCACTGCTGGGTCCTGTGGGTTTGCACTGGGGCTGTGGGGATTGATGTCACTGGGATTAATAAAGTTCACTGCCAGCCCTCAGCCTGCTGTGACTTGGACACTTCCTGGCAGTGGGTGTTGGGTTAATGCTGTCATGGTGAGAGAAGCAGAGTGAGTAACACCACTGTGGAAAATCAGGGCTGATCTCACTCGCGCTGGCTCTGCAAGGCTGTTCTACGTGCTGGACATGGGCAGTGTTGGGTGAGAGGAGCTGATCCTGGTGTGGGATGACACAGCCCAGGGCTCTGCATCTCAGGAGCTCTCATTTCTTGACACTGAGGGGAAGTGGGGTTTTTTATGAGCACTGAGGGGAAGTGTTTTTTTTTTAGTCAAGTTGCATAACCAGCCCCTTGAGAAACCTCTCCCAGTGTCTCGTGGCTGCTGCTTCATAGCACTGCTGTGGTGCAGAGCCCTGNGGTACCTCCAGTGCAGCCACAGCCACGCCCGTGGAACTCTGCACCCTGTGCTTTAAGAGTTACCATGACTTTCATGGAAATAATACAGCCTTGATCAGGGTAAAAGACTAGTGGAGGTCTTTAGCCCAATCTTAGAGGTTTGCTTCTACAGCACGGACAGCTACGGCTCCGACACACATAAATAGGTTCTGTTAAAGTGACAATGCAGTGTCTGAATCATCCGAGTGTTATCCCTACTGCTGCTAGGGGAGGGCCGGTGGTGGGAGGAGAGCTGGGGTGTGACGGAGGTGGGACAGCTCCAGCTCCACCTGGAAATGCAGGGAGAAGCCAAAAGGCGCTGTGAGCTTTACTCGACAGCAGGTTTTATGGCATGCAAGGAAACTCCTACGACAACACTTGGAACGGAGCCCACGGCGTCTCCATCGCGCCGCGGTGCCCCGAGAACGAGTAAAGCTACGAGTCTGCTTGGAGGGGAGGGGGTGTGCGAGTGTGTGCAGGGGGACGAGGGAGGGGCCGGGAGAGGAAACGCGTCCTGTTCTGCTGAAACCAAGCTCTGGGGCAAACCTGCTTCCCTCTACCGCTGGCCGGCCTCGCGGATGCGGCAGGCCACGGCCGTGATCAGCGCGGCGCCCTTGCCGCTGCCGTCCTCCGACTGCAGGAAGGTCACTTCACACTTGGGGGACAGCTCCTTCACTGTCTCCTGCAGCACCGTGGAGAAGCTGCGGGGCAAGGAGAGGGAGAGGCTCTGAGCTGAGCGGCCACGGGGTGAAGGTGTCAGTCCCAGCCCCTAATGCGGCTTCACAGGCCCTCGAGGAGAAACACGGACCCCAGGGGGAGGGATGGGTGGGTGGGTGATGGATGGAGGGATGGATGGGTGGTCATGGATGAAGCTTAGAAAGCCCAAGCCTCCACACTTCAGCCCGAGCCCATGGTTACAACATGACCGTGCTGTGCCTTCACTCAGGCCCAAACCCAGCCCCTTCTTGAGGCCCACCAAGCCCTGGGAGCAATACTGAGCCTCAATAGCCCTGACCAGCCCCATGTGGGGGGAGTTTTCAGTGCCTCCCTTTGCCCATGGGCTCCTGAGCCCTATTTAAGCTCAGCTCAGTGCCTTAGATCCTGTCTGAGCTCCAGTGCCCAGCAGCACCAGCCAGCCAGCGCTGGCACGGGCAATTTGTGTGGCCATGAACCTCCATGACCCATCCCCATGACTTGGAGCCCTGGCTGAAGCTGGTCACCACGTCTGGGTCAGGCCCAGTGGCACTGGAGGAACCCCTGTCCTTGAGGGAGCAGCTGACTCCTGTTAGGCCTCAAGTTTGGGTCAGCGAGCTCCTGTTAGGCCTCAAGGCCCCAAAACACCTCCAATCCTCCCCCGTTCCCCCCTGAACCTTCCCCCCGAGCCCCCAGCTCCCCAGGCAGCACATCCAGGGGCACTCACTGCGGGTGCAGCTTGTAGAGCGTCCCGTCCACGCCCACGGTGACCTTGAGGAAGTCCAGGCCGCGGTTCTCGTGGATCTTGTCCACCACGGCGGCCATGCCGGCGCCGCAGAGCTGGGCCGCGCGCCGCGCCACCACCGTGCACACCTCCTTGACGATGATGCTGTCGTCGCACGTGGACTCCAGGCCCAGGTGCTGCAGGATGGAGCGCACCTGCAGCAGGGCCAGGCAGTCGCTGCGGGGACACGGCGGGGGCAGAGTCAGGGATGGGCAGCCTCCCCTTGCTCATCCTCATCCTCACCCTGCACTCGGGCTCGTGGCAGGGCCTGGGGTGGTCCTGCAGCCCCCCAAACCTCAGCTTTCAGGCCTGGATGTGGCCTGGTGCCACATCCTGATCGGGGAGGCTGTTTCAGGACAAGGCCAGCGGAGTGTGACGCCCCTGCCACCCTGCCCAGGGCAGAGCATAAAGAGCCATCTGTGCCGCCAGCCCCAGGCAGCCTCTCCTTGTCCCTGCACACAACCAACCAACCACGCGGGCTCTGCAGATTCACCCGTGGGGCACCATCCTGCATCGCCCTGGCTCCACACCAGAGCTTCTCCCACCAGAACTCCCCCACATTCCATCCCTGCTCTGCAGCTGGTGCTCACTCACCTCTCTATCTGGGACAGGAACTTGGTCTCAAAGATCCCTCTGGTCTTCAGCCTCTCCGAGATACGTCCCCGGAAGAGCAGCCCTTTCTTGGTGAAGTCCATCAGGATGTTGCGGACTATTTCCCCCAGGTACATCCCACTGATCATCTTCTCATACCTGGGCAGGAGAGGACAAGGCTGGACGTCAGCACAGGAAGGGACATTGGGGCTGGCTGGGGATTCCAGCTCTGCCAGGTGCCCTCTGGACATTCCCCTCAGCAGCATGGGCAGGGGACAAGGGACATGTCAGCGTCCTGCCCATCATCCCCTGGACCCACCAAGGGGCTGCTGGGGCAGAACCCCCCCATTGGGGTCCCTTCCAGCCCCCCAAAGCCACCACGCACCTCTGCTTGCCAGGGTTGAGGGAATGCTCATCCACGGCCACGTCGAACTCCGTCCGGATGTCATCGAGGCAGCCACTGTCCCCAAAGGCGCCCCACTCCATGTTCACACACATCCTGCCCTCGTCCCCTTCCACCAGCTCCACGTTCCTCATCTCCTCCATGTAGCAGGCGTTGCTGCCCGTGCCTGTGGGGAGGGGCAGGGTCAGAGGGACGCCAGGACACCCCCTGTGCCCCCAGGGCAGGGGTGGCAGCACGGGGCAGGAGCTGCGCAAGGAACGTTCAGTGCTCACCGACAATCAGCCCAACTTCACAGTAGGGATCCTCGTAGCCACAGGTCATCATGGTGCCCACGGTGTCATTGACCACTGCCACCACGTCCAGGTCGAATTCCTGCAGAGGGATGGATTGCAGGAGTTATTGCTGGAGGGCCTGGAATTCCTGCTGAGTCTGCTCACACCTGCCTTCCCCAGCCCCAGCTGCCTGCAGGCAGAGCTCAGAGAGCTCCAGCTGGGGCAGCCCTGCCAGGAGCAGCCCCTGGCAGGAGCTGGGGTGGTCTGTGCTGAGGAAACGAGCCGCTGTCTCCTGAGCTCAGGGCCAGACAAGTCTGCTCCAGCCCTGGCCAGGAGCCAGCCCGTAGCCCCAGGGTCTGAAAATCCAACCTCAAGTGATGAGTAAGGGCGGCTGCGAGAATTCCGACACTCATTACGCTGAGCTCAGCCCAGTAATTTGTTTTACAGGCCAATTAATGATGCCAAAGAGAGCCAGGATGTGGGAGCAGCCCAGCTTCTCCCAGCCCTGTGGCTGCTCACCTCCCTCCTGTGAATGGCCTCCTTCAGCAGCCCCACCACGTCCTCTCCCTCGCAGCCCGTCGCCTTGAAGCCTTTTGTCCACTTCAGGAGGATTCCCTGTTGTGGGAAAAGCGCCCAGTGAGTGCCCCTGAAGGGCCAGGCACAGGCAGGGATGCTGCCAGGAGGGCTGGGGTTACCTCTTACCTCGTCCAGGTTGTTCTGCTGGCAAGGGAAGGAGAAGGTGAAGCCCAGCGGCAGCGACACGCCCTTCATCCCCATGTACTCCAGGAAGTCAGAGATGCAGTGCACAATGTGGTCAAAGAGCTGCATGAGCAAAGGAGGGAGAACAGCTACCACCACAGCCAGGGCCCAGCTGGAAGCCTGATTTCTGGGGGTTCTGACCCATTCCCAGGCCTGCTGGAGTGTTCAGATCACTCCCAGGACTTTGAACGGAGCAGGACGTGGCTCAGGTGCACTGTGGGAGGTGAGCAGCCCCAACAAGCTCAGCTCACCCTCTTCCCCACCCACAGCGTGGCCAAATCCCTGCATTATCTGCACCCACAGGTCCCTGGAGGGCTGGGGGCCAGCAGGGACCCAGTTCCTCTGCAGGGCATCCCCTCCAGCCCAGTCCCCAAGCACTGCCGGGAGCACCTTGCAAAACCCTTTCCAAACGTGTCTCACTGCTTGTCTTGTGGTTTCCCTATCTGGGAAACGGGGATGATGCTAATCTGCCCTCGTGGGGTGTGTGGGATTCAGGGAGGCTCACTCATGGGAATAACACCATTTCCAACCCAAAAACCAGACCCCAGCTTCCCAAACCCCAGAGCCCTGGGCACAGCTGGCTGCTCCAAAGCCAGGAGAGCACCAGCGCTCCCCACTCCTGGTTTCACCCTCTGGAAAGGCAAAACCAGCAAAGAGGCCCCTTCTCCTGTGTGCCTGTGTGCCCACACTGACCTCCTCTCCCGTGCCCTGCATGATCTCCACGGGGATGGAGTAGATCTTGTTGTGCATCTCCACCCCGCGCCGCATCCCGTTCCTGACGCGCACCAGCAGCACGCGGAAGTTGGTTCCTCCCAGATCCAGGGCCAGGAAATCTCCCTTTTCTGCAAGGCAAGAGAGGATTTTCAGAGAGATCCCAGCACGGGGCATCCAGGATGGGGCACAGAGCAGACAGGACCTGCTCTCCTCCCAGGAGAGGGATGGAAATGGAAATATGGCTGAGGATAGGTGGGAACAGGGGCTGCAGGTAGGAGGAGGATGGAGAGGTTTGCTCCACACTCAGGGTGATGGTGAGGCTTCAAATCATAAACCTGAGCTGGAAGGGACCCACAGGGATCACTGAAGTCCAGCTCCTGGCCCTCAGGACCTGCACAAGCTTCAAGCCAAGGTCAGGCACTCGCCCAAACCAGGAGCAGAACCCAGGATGAGGGTGGAGGGAATCCTGTGGCAGGATTTGTGGCCAGGCTTTGTGTTAAACCAGGTGCAGAACGTCCCAGAGGCTCAGGGCTCTGCCCAGCACCAAACTGGAGCTTAGTGCCACTCCCACCACAAAGAGGAACCGGCCACAGCAAAGGATCCAGCCCCTCCCGAGGATGCAGGACGCGCAGGGCTCACACCCTGGGGTTCCACACAGGACACATCACCTGTTCCATCAGGAGTGGAGCACACGTAGGTGGGCAGCATCTTCACCGTCGCCTCCTCGTGCGTCTCCTTGCCCAGCCCTTTCTCCATCTCTATCCTCATCCTCTCCTTCACCTCCAGCAGCTGCTCGTGGCTCAGCTTGAGGGGCTCCAGGATCTTCTGGCGGGCCTGGTGCTGAGCAGCCAGCCGGTAGGCCACGGCCGTCACCATGGCCGCGCCTTTGCCGCTGCCGTCCTCGGAGCGGATGAAGCGGATCTCGCAGTCGGGCAGCAGCTTCCGCACGGTCTTGTGCAGGCGGCGGGCAAAGCTGGCCGGGAGGAGCAGAGGGGACCTCAGTGGGACCCTCTGGGCACCCCCTGGCATCCAAACGAGGGGCCCGAGGGGGTCTTTGGAGGCGCTTCTCTGGTGCCGAGCTGTGCGCGCTGCTGGCAGCAGCAGATTGTCTCTGTCCCTGTCCCCAGCACCCCAGNCACCCTGCCTCCTCCTCAGGGGTACCCCAAATGGGGGAGGCTGAGGCGCTGTCCCCCCTGTGCTGCCCCCAGGTTGCGCCTGGCCTCGTTCGACTGCAGCGGCAAGATGATCTGCAGCAGGACCACGGGCTATCAGATCCTCACCCTGGAGAAGGACCAGGTGTGTCTGTGGGCCGGGGTGCTGCAGCTCAAGGCATGAAAAAAATGCTCACAAGTCACCGGTGCTTTTGAAGGGGAGTTGCTGCTCCTGTTGGCGTGGCTGATGTGGAATCTCAGGCATTCCTGTTAGAGGCAGTGGGTAATTAAGCTAATTTGTGAAGTGGATCTAGAGTAGGGTAGTGTGAGTGTGGATAATATGAAATTAGTTCCCATATTAGTGAAATGAGTGCCTGTGGTGCTGCTGTCTGCTGCTCTTCAGCACTGCTGGCAGCACCCTCTGCATAATCTGGCCATCAGACTGCTCATTTAGAGGCAAATCCAGAATGTGAAGACTCTCATAAACTGAGGAGTTAAAAGAATGTCTGCATGTTGTTTAAGGGTTGGATTTATTACTCTGTTAAATGAATTGAAGAAAACTGCACTCCTCTCTGGGGCTTTCTTAGAGCAAGTGCCCTTTTCCACCCATTGCTGACAGCGGGATTTAGTGGGGCCTGTGTGGGACTTGCTAATCAAGTTTCTCAAATCTCAGCCAGCAGTGATACAAAGGTGGTGAGAACACAGAAAACCTTTCCTTGTCAGTGCCATCCTCACTGGAGGGTGAAGTTTCAGTTGTTTTGCATCCTCACAAGGTTGAAGTTTCGATTTTGCTTCCCCAAAACCAGTTCCTAGAGTGGAACCAAAAGAATTCCTACCCACAAACTGAAGTTTGCTTTCTGTTGTGGAATGCCTGGCTGGTGAAATCTCCCAAGTCTGAGAACTGTCCCTTCCTCCCCAGCATGTTGGAGGGGAAATGTGCTCCCGCATTTCCTGTGGCTGTTCCCTGTGCTGCACAGGGTGGGAGCTGTGGGCAGGCTGAGAATGTGCCAGTGTTATAAACCCGAGGTGAAGGGGAGCTGTCTTTGCTTCACGTTCATATTCTGCTTTCAGTCTGCAGCCATTGGGTGTGCAGAGCGGGCGCTGTGTCAGTGTTGTGCTCTCTGGTCCCCTCACCACACAAACACCCCTGTGTGCTGCAGGAGCAGATCGTGATGAATTTGGACAGCAGGCTCCTGACCTTCCCCCTGTACATCTGCTGCAACTTCCTGTACACGTCCCCGGAGAAGAGGGCGGGCAGCGAGGCGCAGCTGGATCACCTGGAGTGCTGAGCCCTGCCTGCCTGCAGGGCCTTACACTGTGGCACAGCCCCGGCCTTAGTGCTCTCCTATGCAGCTCTGGCTTTAGGTAGGCCAAAACCAGTCATCTTTTCAATTTTTTAAAATTTTATTTCTGTTCTGCATCGTCAGGCAGGAGCCATTCCGTGTTTGAGAAGTGTTGTCACACTCGGGCTTTTCTGGGTGAAAACTGAGCCAAATTGGAAATAGGGAATTTGTGTGGATTTACAACTTAGGCAATTACCTGTTGGACTCTGAGCACACATTGTAGGTTGTGTGGGTTTTGTTAGTGTGGGGTTTGGTTGTATTATTTGTTGGGTTTTTAAATAACTGATCTGTAAATACCAGATCCAGCGTTTGCTTTTTTTCCTGGTCCTTTTCTCTTAGGGCCAGTTAATCTCTGTAAATGTGGCATCTCAACTTTGGTTATTTAACTGCACAGTCTTTCCCACCTGGTGGGTTTAAACCTTTTTTGCAGCTCACACAAACACACATTTCATTCTTGGTCTTGCTCTAACACTGCAGCCAATAATTCTCTGTCTTTTAGCAGGTTAATTTACGAATAAGGATGTTCATAAATGAATTATTTTTTCCATGTACAGTGAGTTCTCCAATGTCCTCACCATTACTTGAGTCCTGTCAGCAGCAGCTCTCAGCTGGAGTTGTGCTGAGTGCTGACTCTACTCACACAAACCAAATACCAGTTTTTAAACATTTCCTGTGGCTTGTTTTAGCTGTTACCTTGGGAATACATCCCATGTTAGCTCAGGAACTTGTGACTTTCCAGTGCCTTTTGAGTTGTATGTGTAACACCAACTTCACATCAGTTCAGCAAGGTCACAGGATCCAAAGGCAGAGCTGGGAACAAGAGATTCCTCTCCACTTGGTGTGATGGATGAGTCGTGTCATGGTACACTCTGTTCAGTCTTTGTTGGGTTTTGTGTTTGTCTCTTACAATTTTCAATTCTTACAGCAGGATTTTTTGATTCAAACTGGGAATTTTTGCCTCGTTAATGCCTATTTTTTTAATGTCAGAAAAATATAAAACCATTTGTACTTTATAACAAGGGTAAAAATATGCTGAGCAAGATAGAAAAACATGGCAACGTGTCAGTAAATGATTTCAAGTGGAATATTTGTCCATGTGTGTCCTTTCCTGCTGGGAATAGCTTTTTGTGCTGGGTTCAGCACCTCAGTGTGGTCTTGTGTTGTGTCACAGCTTTGGCAGCACAGAGCAGAAGCATTTTCAGCTGTTCAGCTGCTGCAGCATCGGATTTATTTATAGAATTAACTGTATTTAGATCCTTAACCCTGCTTTTAATTAGAAGTACCCACTCCTTAAGGTTGATTCCATGGAAAGCAACAGGGGCAGCTGGTTAAGGGCAGAGGGAGCAGCTCCCTCAAAGCCAGGCGGGTTTTTTTGCAGCACATCAAAGCCTGAGCTGTGCAGGGTTTGCAGCCCTGCCAGGGCCTGGTCCTGCTGTGCCCTCTGGACCCAGTGGGACCCACCCAGTGCCCCCAGGATGTGGGAACCCATCTGGTGGGATGAGGAGCAGGGAATGTGGGATGTGGAGCAGGGAACCCATCTGGTGTTGATTTGCCAGGCACCANCCGAGCGCGTGGACACGATCTGGCAGATGCGCAGCGTGGCCACGCAGTCCTCGTGCGACGGCTCCAGCCCCAGCTTGCTCAGGATCTCGTGGGCTTTCTGCAGCCCCTCCTTCTCCCTGGAACCACAAAATGGGGTTCGTGCCCGGCAGCGCAGCTTCTGCTCGGCGCTGCTCCATCCACGGGCTGGGTGGGACACAGGAAAGCCCCGGATCCTACTTACTTCTCAATGGCAGACACGAATCTGGTCTCAAAGTGGCCCGTGGTGAGCAGGTCTGGCGTGAGCCTTCCCCCGAAGAGCAGCCCGTCCTTGGCCATCTTCACCAGGATGAGCCTGACCAGCTCGCCCATGTACATCCCGCTGATCATCTTCTCAAACCTGCCCGTGGGGGTGCAATCAGGGAATGGTTTGAAAGGCTGGAAAAGCCCTCCAAGGTGAGCAAGTCCAGCCATTCCCCAGCTCTGCCGAGCCCACCACTATCCCCAAGTGCCACAGAGCTGTTAAATCCCTCTGAGACGGTGGCACCACCACTGCCCTGGGCAGCCTGTGCCACACCTGACGCCCTTCCAGAGCAGAAATCTTCCCAAATATCCAACCTAAACCTCTCCTCTCTCTCCGTTATCTCCCCCAGAGCCCCCTTTTCTCCAGGCCAAACAATGCGTGTGTTTGGCTGTGTGTGCCACGAGGTGGCCACAGGCTGACCTGAAAACCCCTTGGCAGCCTCCCATCCCAAACAGAATCTGGGTAATCTCTTCCCAGAGCAGTTTATCCCATCACTGAGCATATCAGGCCCTGTGGACACAACCACCACCTTGCAAAGAGACCTCGTGGCCACCTGAAGGGGCTCAGTCAGTTTGCAGGGACCCCCAGGTCACCCCCAGGCCACAGTAGCCCTGTGGGGAATGGGAGATGTGCAGGATTGGGATGTGGATGTTCTGCCTGGGCTGGTGGGGACTTTGCTGGGCAGGAAGGGAACAGGAATCATTCACATGAGGGGGTCACGAGGGCAGCAGGTGGGGCAGAGAGCCCTGCTTTGGGACAGAGCCCTGCTTTGGGACAGAGCCCTGCTTTGGGACACAGCCCCTCTCCTCTCTGCACCAGTGACAGAGGACACGCTGACCCAGTTAGCTGGGCTGACCTCCCCAGCCCCAGTGACTGTGGGAGGATGGACAATGCTGAGCAAACCACGAGCCCGAGCCAAGAATGTGCTCACAATTGTTTGCCAGGGTTGAGCGAGCCCATGTCGATCTCGCGGTCGAACTCGGTGCGGATGTCGTTGAGCACCCCGTCGTCACCAAAGGCTCCCCACTCCATGTTGATGCACATCCTGCCCTCGTCCCCCTCCACCAGGTCGATGTGCCTCATCTCCTCCATGTAGCAGGCGTTGGTTCCAGTTCCTGGGCCAAGCAGGGGCACGGGGTGAGCGGGGACACTGCCTTTCCTCATCCCCATTGTTCCTTATTCACGTTATTCCTTATTCACGTTATCCTCCATTCCCATTATCCCTTATTCCCATTATCCCCCATTCCCATTATTCCCTCATTCCCATTATCCCCCATTCCCATTATTCCTTATTCCCATTATCCCCCATTCCCATTATTCCTCATCCCCCTTATCCCCCATTCCCATTATTGCTCATCCCCCTTATCCCTCATTCCCATTGTCCCCCAATCCCATTATTCCCCATTTCCCTTTGGCCACAGCCCAACACACCAAAGAAAGCCAAGAACCAAGCACACAAACTCTGCACAATGCTGGTTTTCCAGCACTGGTATCCCCCTCTCTTTTCTCCCCCAGAGACCCCCAGGCCTGCAAGAAGCAGGATCTCGCTCTGGCCCTGCTGGAGCCCAGGAAACACCCCCAGAACATCTTTCCTCTCCCTGCAGCTCACCAACAATGAGGCCAACTTCACAGTTCTGGTCATCGTAGCCACAGGTCATCATGGTGCCCACGGTGTCGTTCACCACGGCCACGATGTCAATGTCAAAGTCCTGGCGTGGTGGAAAGGGGAGAGGCTGACCCAACAGAGGCAAAACTGACCACAGCACCTTCCCAGAGCCCAGGCGTGCTGGCCAGGAGCCGCGTGCCCCCAGCCCAGCCCCTTACCCCTCTTTTCTTGATGGACTTGCGCAGCAGGGACACCACGTCCCTGCCCTCCACGCTGCTGCACTTGAACCCCTTGGTCCACGTCACGAGGATGCTCTGCAGGGGAACAGCAAGAGGAGGCTTGGGGGTGACCCCTGGCTCCCCGTTATCAGCTCACCTGCTGCGCCATCAGCCGCAGCTTCCGTGGCAGATAAAGTTTATGGCCACCAAACAACACGTGAGCTGCCCGTTGCTGCCCCGGCAGCAGGAGCGTGCTTCCCATGACCAGCTTTGATTGAGCCCTGCAGCAAAACTTGCTCATGAGCCCAAGGAATGCTCCTTGACCCATCCCTGAGGGGTGGATGGCTGGCTGTGCCTTTGGAATGCTCCTTGACCCAGCCCTGTGGGGTGAGGGGCTCATTGTGCCTTTGGAATGATCCCTGTGCGGTGAGGGGCTCACTGTACCTATGGAACAATCCCTGTGGGGCAGGGGGCTCACTGTNCCGTGGGCACTGCCAGTGCCAGGGGCAGCCCCGGGCCCCACACACACGACACTGAGCCCAGCAGTGGCTGGTGGTTGTTTTTCTCTGGTTTATTGTCTCTGAGGAGCAGCAGTGGTGGCCGAGGGGAGCTGAGCAGTACAACACCACACTCAGGTATGAAAAGTACAAAAATAAGGAAGCCTATATATAATATCGTTGCAGTCAATTGCTAAAATAAATATTGTAAACACAATAGAGAGAACAACATCAGGTGAATCTACAGCACTCGTTTCTGCCAGCAGCCACACAGTCTTTGGCTTTAGGACTCCCCTGCCCACATCCAGGTGCATTTTCTTTGCTTCAGGCCAGAAAGATGTTGGGCTGGTCAGGGATGTCAAAGGCAAAGAATTTCCTCTCTCCAATTCACTTTGAGAACCAGAATTGCCTCTTTTTGCCTTCAGTGCCCATTTTGGTGCCAGAGCAGGGACTGCTGTGCCCAAAGCAGGCACTTTCCTTGTCTGGAGGGGAATGGGGTGAGGGCTCCCCTCGTTCCAGGTTATTCTGTTGTCACCTTGCTCCCCACAGCCCCTGCACGGTGCACTTGGCACCGTTCTGCACCTCTCCCCTCTGTGCACTTGGACCTTTCACCCCCTTATCTCTGTGACAGCCAGATGGGTTTGGATTGCCTGATAAGGGAGGAGAGGAGGCAGCGAGTTATCTCGGGTCAAACTGCACCTGAGCTGCTGCCAGGCCAGGGATCTGTGCCCCCCTGATAGCACCGAGCTTTCCCTGCCAGCCCTGGGCGCCAGCTGCAAATTCTGCTTGCAGCTCTCAGCCATTTGCTGACTGTGTTTATAGAGATGTACATTTATGTTAAAAGCCCAATAAAATCCTGTCCAAAGTACCAAGGAGGGGAGAGTTGCCAGGCAGGGCAGGGCAGAGACTCTGCTCCCTGCTGCCTGCGTGGCCAGAGAACATTCCAGCACCCCAGGAAAGCAGAGAAAATGCACCCAGATGGGAACAGCCAAGCACAACAAAACCATCCTAAACCCACAAAGCAGCACTTGTTGCTGCAGGGAAGACAAACCAGGCTGAGCAGTCTGTCCGTCTGTCCCCACAGATAATCATTTGATCTTCCCTTCATATCAATAACTAGGATTTAATCTTCCCTTCTTCATTTTGAACACATTCACAGAACATCCCATGGCGACGTTTTTGGCGTGAGGTTTTGGGCTGGACATCCAACACCTGCAGGGCTGGGGATCACAGGGATCCTAAACCCCTCCAGGGATCCTAAATCCTTCCAGGGATCCCAAATCCTTCCAGGGGCTCCTAAACCATCCAGGGATCCCAAACCATCCAGGGATCCCAAATCCTTCCAGGGATCCCAAATCCTTCCAGGGGCTCCCCAAACCCCTCCAGGGGCTCCCCAAATCCCTCCAGGGGCTCCCCAAACCCCTCCTGCAGCCCCAGGGAGCGTGGGCTGCACCCACAGCTGTTCCGTAATGATTTGAACTGGGAACATTGCAGACCCTGCTTATTCTGAGCCCAAGCAAAAGCTTCCCAGCATTAGGGGAGCCTTGGAGAGCCAGGGGATGTCCCTGTGACCAAGCCCAGCCAAAAATCCACCACCAGCACCCCACAAGGGTGATGTCCTCACCCCTGAGAGCTGCAGCAGGTGAGGGGATTGTGGTGACCCTGCTCCCCAATTTCCCCCTGCTCAGATCCCCATCCTTCCCACTCTGCCCCCAAAACTACACAATTTCACTCACTAACAGATGAAAACACTATGGAGCTCAGCAGGGGCACAGCTGGCTAAGAGTAAAAACAGCCACTAATGCAACTCTGCACAGTGCAGCAGCTAAAATGATTTCTGTTTTGATTTTTCAGTAGGCAAAATGCTGGTTTTCTGAGGAAAAAAAAATCACACAAAACTGCTTGGTACCAGATTAGAGGATATCTGTATCATCCTTCAAAGATTTATTTGACAGCTTCTAAAACTTCCACTAAACTTGGTTTCTTACATCATTTCTATACACAGGTTTTATTTGTTATAATTGTCTTGAGGCTTATAAAAAAATAAGCATTTAAAATGCCCAAAAGAGTAATTTTCCTTTAAAATTGTGCTACTGAACTTGACCCCCAACACAGAAGAGAGACTTTTGGTAATGAGGTTACCCCAAGCAGTATAAAAATATACATAAAAATAGACAAAACTCTATCCTCCAATCTGAAGGGCTGTTTGTGGGGTTTATTAGTTATATATTTTTTTTTTTTTTGTACATCACTGAAATTTCATTAACTTCTGCTAAATATTTACAGAAAACCCCCCACCCTCTGCCTGCCTCCTCTCACCGAGGCAGAACCTGCAGCTTTCAGCTCACCCAGAGTTTTCTGCTGGCAAACAAACACGGATCCCTGCACTGGGCCAGGGCACACGGGTGCTGCTGCTGCAGGGCCCTGCGTGTGTCACCTCCCCAGGGCACAAAACAAAACCTGTGCTAAGGTTAAAGCCAGCCTGAAGCCCACAGCATCCTGCACGCCCCGGCTTTCCGCTTTCCCTTTTGTCCTGCTGGTAAAGTCAGAATGCCCAAACCTCTTCTTGTACAACAGTTCCTCAGGTATTTGGGTCTCTTTCTCCAGTCTACCCCAAGAAAATTTTAAATTAAAAAAAAAATAAAATTACATGACAGGATCAAAAAAAAAAAAAAAGAAAATAATTACTCTGTACTCTTCTTCGACAACATGAAAAGGTGACGTTAAAACTAAGTGATACAACCCCCCCCAAGACTATGTACATAAAAAGACATCAGATCTCTTAAAACATAAATATACAGTGTATAAATCAGGTGCCACCTAAAGGCTGCGGCCGCAGAACTATTTCACAGACACAAAGCAAACCAGACTCTCCACGCCGAGGGCAGACACGGGCTCNGGAGAAGGAGAAGGAGAAGGAGAAGGAGAAGGAGAAGGAGAAGGAGAAGGAGAAGGAGAAGGAGAAGGAGAAGGAGAAGGAGAAGAAGGAGAAGGAGGACCAGCCTCCACCCTAAAACCTCCCTCTTGCTCTATAGATTTTCCTATACTCTAAAACCTTAAACTCAAAGGTTTCTTTCTGTGGTATCACACTCTTCTATCCAAACTCCACACCCACAATCCCAGCGCTATCACTCAATTTTGGAAGTTTTCTCCACAGCCTGAGCTCAACGCAGAGCTCTCCTGCACTCAGCACAGAAAATCTGAAATTCCCAGCACGCAGAGCTCCAGCAAGGCTCCTCCAAGGGCAGCCCCAGGGCTGTTTGGGGCAGGGAAAAGTGCCCAGCTGGCTGTTTGGGGCAGGGGAAAGCCTCTCTCAGCACTCAGAGCCCCAAATGTGCTGTGCTGGCTGCTGGGGCTGCTTTTGTGAGGCACAAAGGGAACAAAACCCGCGGGCCATCGGGGCCATTGGCGTGCACAGAGCAGCAGCACCTGCAGGGAGTGAGGCTGGAAACAGCCCCAGCCCCAGCCCAGCTCCAGAATGGGCATTCCCAGTGGTTCCAGCTGGAAACAACCCCAGAATGGGCATTCCCAGTGGTTCCAGCTGGAAACAGCCCCAGAATGGGCATCCCCAGTGGTTGATCAATACCAACAGGGCACAGAGAACACCTCAGGAGGGTGATCAATACCAGCAGGGCACACAGAGGCTGATAAATCCACCAGGGACAAGAGGAGCCAAGAGGGACAGAGGGGGGGGTTGCTCAGCTCCTTGGGGGTAACCCCAGAGGATCCCAAAAAAAAGAGCATTTTGGGGGAAAAACCTGGCAATTCCTGGGTGGATTTCTGGGAATTCCTGTGAATTCCTGGGTGGATCAGCTTTGCAGGAGGAGCAGGGCAGGGAAGGCTCCCTTGGAACACTCCCAGCCATGCCTGGAGCACGTGGCGGGTGCCAGGTGTGGGCACTGCCCCCCGTTTGGGCTCCCGGGTCTGTGATAAGGTATCAGCCCCTGGTGCTGAGCCCATAAAGCCAAACAGGCAGGGCAAACACAGGCAAGGGAAAGGTGCTGCCAAGAGCCACCCTTTGGATACCCCACAAATCCTGCAGCACCTTTTTAGAGAAGAGCTCCTGCTTTCAAAGCACAATTCCCCCCTCTTATCACCCCACAGAGGGATGGCAAAGCCCCTGAGAGCCAGGGCTGGGCTTTGGCTTAACCTGCAGGTGTGACCTTGCATTTCCATAAGCCCCTCTCATCCCCCTGGAGCTGGGCATTAAACAGGGTCNATGGTCCCTGTGGGGCAGGGGGCTCACTGTGCCTTTGGAATGATCCCTGTGGGGCAGGGGGCTCACTGTGCCTATGGAACAATCCCTGTGGGGCAGGGGGCTCACTGTACCTATGGAACAATCCCTGTGGGGCAGGGGGCTCACTGTGCCTATGGGATGATCCCTGACACATCCCTGTGGGGTGGGGGGCTCACAGTCCCCTGCAACCAGGGGCACCTGGCAATAAGGCTGAGCTGAGCCCTGGGTGGAGGAAAAGAACTCAATTCCAAATTTCAAGATTTGAAATCTCCAGCCCTATGGCCACAGCCCCTTAGGGAGGCAGACACCCACCCTGCCTTAGAGCTGGGGAAACTGAGGCACTGAGGGACCTGCCCTGGGCGAGCTGAAATTGGTGTGGGACCCACAGGGAGGGCTCAGCCCCTCACCCACCTCATCCAGCTTGGTCTGGTGGCACGGGAAGGAGAAGGTGAAGCCCAGGGGCAGCTTCTTGTCCTTGATCTGCAGCTTGTCCAGGAAGTTGGCCAAACACTCAGCGATGTGGTCAAAAAGCTGGAAAAAAGGGGAAGAGTGACAAAAAGCCCCACTGCGAGTGGATGCCGCATCCCCCGTGCCCAGCGCTGGATTGCCAGCAGGATCCCCTGGGCTGGAGCCCCCCGGGAGCCCACCTGGACCCCGCTGCCTCTCATCAGCTCCTCGGGGATGGCGTAGATCTGGTTCTCCATCTCCACCTTGCGCAGCCCGTTGTCCGACACCTTCACGCGCAGCACGCGGAAATTGGTGCCGCCCAGGTCCAGGGCCAGGAAATCGCCGTCCTCTGTGGGTCAGCACAAGCACAGCCCCTTCATTCCCCTGTGCACGGAGCCCCGAGCTCACCACCCCCTCCCAGGCACCAGGAAAAGGCCAGATTTTTGTTATTTTTCATCATTTTGTCTGCTATTCTATTTTTCGGTATTTTATTGGAGCAGTCACTGCATTCCCTGCCCCTCCTCTGCCCCCACAGAGGATCAATATTTTGACCATCACGGATGCTTTGGGGCATGAATCCCACCCAGAAAAGCCCAGACCAGCAGGGATCTGAGCTGCAGCCTCAGGCTCCATCAGGAAGGAGGCAGCAGAGCCATTCCTGACCCCACTGATGCTCCTGGAGGCTCCCAAACCTCCATCCCAAAGGGTTAAACCCTGATGGCAGCTGTGGGAACTCCTCAAACCCCCCAGCCCAGCCCAGGAATGCCACACGCTCCTGGAACGTGGCTGCAGGAAACCAGGGAGGGAGAAAATCCCAAAGTTTTGGGGCCCTCACTGCTGCCTCTCCAGGGAGAGCTGCTGTGGAATCTCTGCTGCTTTTTATTTGCCATTATTAAACGTGCAGGACAGAATTTCTTGCTGGGACTCAGATGTTTATTGGCTCTTATCTCTGTTATACTCTCACAAACCCTGAGCTCTGCAGCACTCCAACAAACTAAAACTGGAGCCCTGTCTCTCTCTCTCTCTCTCCAAGGCCTTTTAAGGATAAACTGTCCCATTAAGAAATGGCACTGAAATTATCTTTACTTTTAACCCAATAACCAACCACCCATGGGCTGCAATGGGGACTTTTTATCCAATTACACAAAACCACCCAAACCCAGGGAGGAGAAGGGGAAGGGGAAGGGGAAGGGGAAGGGGAAGG